AATGGAGGGGAGGAGATTTCAGAACAGGTATGGTTGCGAGTTTTCCAGAACTGCTGAAAGACATGAGTCTTTAGCTTGAAGATGTGAACCCTGGAGAAGCAAATGGTATAAATAAAAATAACTCCGCCCTGAAACACATCCTAGAGAAACTGCTGAGCTATGCACTGACAGAATCCAGCACTCAAAGAACCCACATTGTCACTCTGCTGAAAAGAAACAACCCCAAATGACTACAATCCTCAAAGGAATAAAAAATTTTCAAGATCTCACATATATGGGCACGGTTCCCCAAACCAAATGTAATCATTATGTATCACAAACATATAGGAATGAAAATAGAAAGATTTTTTTTAAAAAAATACAAAAAGCCCCAAATTACTCAAATCAACACTGATTTGTGCAGGAAAAATGTCTTTTCTGTTTTATATAAAAATGGTCAAATGTGTTGCTGTCCTTATATTTCCTTGTTTGAACTTCTGTTTTTTTCTGTCTTTTCTGCTCTATTTCCTACATGGGTGGGTGTTCACTCTGTAAACGTCCTGGCACCAAAAAGCCATCATTATTTTGTCTTTCCTGTGACAACAACAACAAAATCCTCAAATGTTACAAGCAGCTAAACCAGCATTTAGGAGCAAGGCAAACTCATGCCATTTCCAGATGAATAAAGTATAGCATTGATCGCTCATAGACCCTCCCTGCAAGAATGACTAAAGACCCTTCGAGAAGAGGCAAGGAAGGTGGGCTTCAAGGACTGATGATGAATAAAGAAATTAGTAAACATGAGTTAAATTTAAGTAATAATCGAGTACATAAAGGAGCAATACTAAAATGCAGTACCTGAATCCCAACACTGGTACAAGGAGCTCACTGGGTTTAAATCTTATGCACCCCCAGACTCCCTCTCGGCACCCCATCTCCCAGGCCCTGCCTGCTGACTGCCCCTCAGCGGGCACAGTCCGTCTCTGGGCCCAACCTGACTGTGCCCCAGGTCCCAACCAGGCCACCCATCACCGCAACCTGCCTGGGGTTTCTGGTCAGTTCCTCAGCTCCTAGATGTTGGTGAGAACCACACTGCAGTCCTAATGGCCACTGGAAAGGCCAAAAGACATCCCTGGAGGCTTGGTGGCATGAACTCCTCTTCGGGAAACAGGAGACAGAGGGGCTGGGCAGGTAGAAGGCCCTCCCTGCTGCGCATGAGCAGAGGCCCTGAGTACCAAGGGGACACACCTGTGGGCCTCGCTGCTCGCACCCACACACTGAAACCGCCCCTCAGCGTAATGTAGCCTGAGCTTTCTCACAGTGAGGCTCCAGGTGTCCCTGGAAAGCCTGGCAGCAATCTCGGGTGAACTTGTTCGAAATGCAAATTCTCAGTCTGTTAGGTAACAAGCCCTTCAGGTGATCCTGACTGGGTGCCAGCAAGTTTGCAACCCCCTGGGCGACAGTACTGTCCCTAGGTCCAGCCCATCGTATTATGCATGTGAGGAGACATTAGCACGAGCTGTGAGCTATGAGGACGGGCATCCTGTGGGGGCTGTGATAGGCTTTAATACTGCGCACTGGATGTTTCAGACTCGCAGAGCCCTCTCTCGTGTTCTCTCTCTCTCTCTCTCTCTCTCCCCACCCCTCTCCCCGTCTGTCTCTCTCCCCAGCATGCCAGAGACTTGTGTCCCTCAGCCGTGGTCCCACAGTGAGGTTGGTAAGGAAGAGACCCCAGCACCCAGCAAGCCCACAACAGGCACAAGACAGGAACGAGGAATAAAACTCTATTTTAAGCCACTCGGATTAGGGCTTTGTTTGTTATCGCAGCATAACCCAGCCCAACACCCCCCTCTGGTATTAGGTTGATATTTTTGAAGGGCAGATACTGGTGACAAAGTGGGCGGCGAGGGGCAGATTCAGCTGTATCTGCAGATGACCAGAGGGGAGAGGTTCTAGTCTGGTTCTGGAGAAGCCAGAGGGGTCCTCACCCCCATGGTGGGGGCGGGGGGGTGCACCAGGTCGACAAGCTCCTCCCATTTCTCCCTCTCACAAGTTCCCCACCCCTGGGTCTGCCGAGCTGGCTCCCCACCCCCACCCATCACAAGCAGCGGGGAGCAGTTGCTGGTGACAGGTGACCCCACCTATGACAGGCTGAACTCCACCTCACCAGCATTCACAGGTTGAAGACTTAACCCCTGGGAACTCAGAACATGAGCTTATTTGGAGACAAGGTCTTGCAGGCTGTAATCAAGTGAAGATGAGGCCCTTAAGGGGGGCCTGATTCCAACATGACTTATGTTCTTATTAAAAAAAGGAAATCTGGAGACAGACAGGCAACATGCATACAAGGAAAATGCCACATGAAGGTTGAGGTTGTGCTGTCATAAGTAAGAAGCTGCTGGAAGCCAGAAGGGTGACCTCAGACAGATGAAATGAACCCTTCACAGCCCACAGAAGGAAGCTGCCCTACCAACACCTCTGTCTCAGGCTTCTGATCTGCAGAACTGAGAGACAATATGACACTGTGTAAGCCACCGACCTGCTGGACTCTGCTATGGCTACCCTGAGCAGCTGGTACTGCTACCTAGCCAGCCTCCCCTCCCCTTCCAGCTCACCAGCACGCTCATGCCCTCCTTGAACTACCTCCTTCAGGCAGGCTGTGGGTTCTCAAAAGCAGCTGCCACCTGTCACCTGTGTCACTGTTCCGTGCCTCCTGCACAGTAGGAAGCCACAAAAGTACGCTGAATGGATAAACACAAGCGCATGGCAGAAATCCCTTACCAGGGGTCCAAGGATCCCATAGTGCAGCTTTATATTTGTAGAGTACATTTCCCCCAGGGGAAGAATTCATGGACCAATTTGAGCAATTAAAGTAAAAGCCGTGACTAAGAAAATCATTCATAACCAAGGCCATGGGGAAGGGAACTGACGTTTATGGAGCCCGGTGATGCAGGTGTCACTGTCCCAGTTCTATGGGAGCGGAAACAGAGGGGCTGGGAGGTCCAGTCTCACCTGGGCTCACTCAGCAAGAAGCAGCCTGTCTCAGCAGCATGTGATGTGACCCTGGAGCCAGGCAGCCCTCGCTCACAGCCACTTTCTAGTTGTGTGATCTTGAGTGACTTACTTAATCCCGCCATGACTCGGTTTTCCCATCTGTACAATGAAAGAAAAGTGCCCTCCTCACAGGGCCGTTGTGAGGAGTACATGCGTCAGTGCAAGAAGAATGACCGGACTGGGGCCGGGGATTTAGCTCAGTGGTTTCGCCGTCTTCCTGTGCAAGCACAAGGACCCGAGTTCGATCCCCGGTAACCAAAAAAAAAAAAAAAGAATGACCGGACTGGGGCCTGGCACACGGTGTGCCCAGAACTCCATGCAGATGGAGAGGGGAGAAAGCTGGGAGCAACACAGTGGCTCAACCCCAGGGCTGTGGCCCTGTGTCGCCCCTACCACCGTGCCCCCGTATCCTATGTCACTCCTGAAATGCTGCTGTCTCATCACAGGAAAAGCTTCAGTTCTCAAAGTGGCTTTTCCAGGTGGCTTCACTGGGGACAGCCTGTGGCCTCCAGTTTGGCAGGAAGTGTCCTGCAGTTATGGTTATGTAAGGAGTGGGCCAAAAGGTCAGGAACTGTCCTCCCTGTCAGCAAGACCGTGCCCAGAGATCAGGACACAGAGCACTTCTGCTCGGCCTTCATTTTCCAAGCGCTTACTGCATCTGCTCCTGGGAATTAGAACATGCCCATCTGTCCTGGAGCCGGTGCTGATGTCCCAACTCCTGCATAATTTCTGAAGTCCATCATCCGGCCACGGGCTTGACAGGCCCAGCTCAGGTTTTATGAGCCTGCACCCCAACTGGGCGGCCCTGCTCGAGCTCTTGGAGCAGCCAGAGCTTAGCGTCAACCCTGTTTCCACCCTGATCCCCGGGGTTGCCCCAGTGTCCTAGCTCTGTTCCCTGCCCTGCTACTGAGAAACAGCCTCTGGGCCAGGGATTTAGCTCAGTGGCGCCTCACCTGCCTCAAAAGCACAAGGTCCTGAGTTGGATCCCTGGTACCAAAAACAAAACCAAAGAAACAGCCTCTGGAATTTGCTTTGTGTGGGATTCTTTGTATATTTCCTGAAAAACCTCGCTATTGAACCCATTTGCAGGAGCATTTTTCACTCATTGCTGTCATCCAATTAGAATCGAGTTTCTCCAGCATTAGGGGCAATTGAACAGCAGGAGGGGAAAACTGTCATTCTGTCCCCAATATACCAACAACCAGCCTCTCCTGGTTCTCCCTTCAGGCTGCGTTCTTCACCCAGCCCTCTGTCCACCCCACCCCCTTCCCCCCAGATGGTGAGGAAAACACTAGCAAGGAAAAGACAACCGCCTTGGGGTGGGGTCTCCCCTCAGTCATTAAGCAGCTTCTTGGACAAGCGCCTGCAGTCCGGGCAGTGTTCAGAGGCCCCCTGAAAAGTCCCCTGGGGGAAGGCTGAGCAGCTTCCCAGAGCCTTATGAGCAGGCTGGTCCAGGGCGCCACACACTGCTGGTCCCCAGGGGCCCTTCAGCTGCCAGCACCTCAGCACCTGCCTTGCTGGGGGACACTGTGGTCACCATCTTTGGCTGTTACAGATGACCAGGCAAAGACGTAATGCTGTCCCTTCACCAGTCCCTTTTTCCTTCACTGTCCTCCAGTCCCTTTCGGAGCCACTTCCCGGGACCCTCCCTCACGGCCTCTCTTACCCTTGCCAGCCTCCTCTTAAGGACTGCGAGTGCTGTTCATCGATCTTAGCCCTGTGCCCAGCATTCAGTGCTCCTCCGAGAAGCATCCATTGCTCTTCACCTCCATCAAGCCTAGGACTGCCCTGCTCCTCTCCTTCTGTAAGGAGGCTGAGCTCGTCTTTTATGCCCTCTGAGCACAGGTAAAGGGGAGACTTCTGTAGTCCTGGGTGGGCTGAGGCCTGCTGCCCAGGGGCCCTGAACGAGGAACCTGCCCCCACCTCCATGCCCGCGGAGGCCAGCCCACCAGCCCCGCACTACGTACGTATGCAGAAGTTGCTGTTCTCATAGTAACCGGGGCAGCACTGGGACCGGCGCCGGTACATGGTCCTGAGGCCGCGCCGATACGCCGTTTTGTAACTGATCCTAAGGCACAAGGGAGAAAGCCACTTGAAAGTATTGAAAATCAATCCCTCCCATTTAGAATGATATTTGTGTTAAGCTGTATGGAGGATGCCATTCAATAATTACTTTAAAATGCATGGCGGCCTCAAATATGAAGGAACACAATAAAGTGAGATCGATGGAGGGATTGGGCCGCTGTGGTGTGGAATGTGTCAGGGACACGATGTCTACAGAGCCTGCTCATTTCCCTAGGCTCCTCTGAACAGGAGGGCGGGGGGGAGCCTTGTGGGGTGACATTGTGCAGGCCACCGCGGGATCCTCCTTAGTCCTTTGAGACCTCGGGTTCTGGGCTAAGCAGCCCATGGGAACCCTTACAGGAGTCAACCCCAAGAGCTCTGTGCCTGCACGCCCCCGACCCCACCCAGGGGACCACTCCAGGCCCCCGGGACGGACCCACCACTTGGGGAATTGGGGCAGAGGCAGCAAAAAGACTCTGAGCCACAATCAGCACCAAATGAATCTTTCTCCACCCAAACAACACCTCCTGCAGAGACGCCTGGGGAAGCCCTGTTCCTGGGAAGCCCTGAGCTGAGCCCATGGGGGCCCAAAGGGCAGTGATGCCCTGCCTGGGAGACAGAGGCCTGGGTTCTAGTCCTGACGCAGACTTGGCCCTCTGCTATTGGTTCAAAGGCAAGATTCGGTCTACAACCTCCAAGGCAGTACCATGATCAGGCCCTTGCCTGTTTGGTTTCTTCTATTTCTTTTTTAGAGACTGCATTCTTATCTAGTGTTCTCCTCAGCCCCTACCCTTTAGATGAGAAAACTGAGTTTCACAGCATGGCTTCCAGCCTTCCAGATGGCCACAGGGAAGGACTGAGGCAAGGAGACTAGGGACAGCGTGAAGACTGAGTCCTGGGATGGGAATCAAAATGGGGTCTGGATGGGCAAAACCCCATTGCTGCAAGCAGAGTTAGTGAGGAGGAGATTTGAAATGACCGTCAGAGACCAGAGAGGAAGAAATGCTCCGTGGTCGTGGAGTATAACAAGGAGCAAGCCCAGTTCTGGGTCTTGAAGATAAGATCTTTCCAGTCCCTGAGTCAACACCCAAGGGTGCCTGCCCTGGGTTACCTCCTCTGCAGCCAGTGGCAGGGACCAGATGCCTACACCTGCCTCCCAGGGAGGACCTGGCCAGGTGAGGAAGGGAGTCCCCCAGCATAGGTGGAGCAGCCTTCTTGGTCCTTAAAGCCCTCACTTCATGACAAGCGGCAACTCAGGCCTCTGGGAAATGTGTGGTATCTGGGAAGGTCATAAGCAAAAGTCATTCCACTTGGTCAAAGGCTCATAACAGAAGGTGAGCTGGTCTTCCAGGGAAATTGCTCCCCTGGCACAGGAAGGCAGCTCCGGGCAGTTTCAGGGTGGTGTGAACCTCTGAGATAAAGGATGGTTCACAGTCGCCTCAGAGCTCAGAGGTCATCTGGCCCATTCTCTCCACCAATCAGGATGGGCCCTGCCCTCCAACGGGGAGGAGGCCTCAGCATCCCTAATGTCCTCAGGACAGAGATGCTACCCCCTGCCCTCGGCTCCCCAACCTGTGTTTGCTGCCAGTGTGGGAATCAGGAGAGGGCAGGGGACTAGGGCCAGGCTGCTCTCGGGAGAAGGATGCTGAGCGAGACAAGCTGCGTCACACCAGAGCTGCCAGTGCTGCCACCGTCAGCATCCACACCCGGGTGATCAGGAAAGCTGCTTCGCAGTGACCCAACAATTTAGCACAATAATCCATGCTCCAGGAAAGCAGCCACTCACTCACCCAGCCCCAGTGGGGACGGACAGCAGCCATGGCCTCGAAGCACCCACAAGAGCCACAGCTTAGAGCAAAGCAGGCTCTAGCCATGAAGCCAGAGATCCGGGGAACAGCGGAACTCCAATTTCTCCCTCTACCCTTGATGAGGGCCACAGGCAGCCAAGTCTGGCAACAGAGAGGAGGTCAGGAAGGATCATTCCATCCAGCGTCCACACTTCACAGCCAAAGCAAGAGGAAGGACACGTGGTAACGGCTGAGGAGCAACTACTGACCCAAACTTTCTGTTAATAACAACTGTGAAATCTGGAGAAACAGAAAAAGCAACTCCCTGAAGGCACTAAAGAGAGAACAGAAGTGGCAGACACTGGCGGGTGTGGACATCTGGAAGAATAACGCCCCAAGCAGGCAGTTCAACAATACTCTGGATGACTGCAACTCAGACAGAAAGCACAGCCTCTCCAGTTGGAGGACCCACAAGGCAAGGCAAGGGTGGAGCCAATGGATATTAAATGCAAGGGGAAAACTCAGAAAGGAGGGAGCCACCAAAGGAAGCCCCAGTTCTTTGTCAAATCTCTGCCCAAACTTAGGCCCCTGAGTTATGTCTGTGGAGGGCAGATTCCAAGCAGTCTAGCTAAGGCTAAAAATACTGAACCTTCAGGGCTTGGAATCTGGGGTAAGCCCAGTCAACTGGCTCCTAAAACAAATACTTTCTAAAAACTAACACTCCCTAGAAGAACATAACAGAATCCAGTCTCTACACTATGTCATTTGTGATATCCAGAATACAAGCCAGAATTATTAGACATGCAAAGAAAGGCGAAAATATTCCCTGTCCAACGAAGACCAACCCTGAGATGTCTCAGGTGTCGTGGAGTATAAAGGATTTGAAAGCGGATATTATATCTATGCTCTGTGTCTCAAAGCAAGTTAGTAGCAACGTATTGAAGAAAACCAGGACTTGAGCTTTCTGCACAAAGCAAGCTTCCCAGTCCATGTTGCTGCCGACCAGGAATCCCACCTAAACCCTGAGAGGAGCTGAATTGAGAAGGAAGCAGCAGAAGAAAGATTTGGAATCATCACAGATGTTTAATAGCAAAGAAAAGGGCCACTATGCAGCCTTACCGTGTTCCTTATTTATTCTTCTGCTACTTTCTCACCTCTCCCAAAATAATGCTACCTCACATGTGTCTAATACCTCACACCTTTTCCCCATTCCTCCCTGTACTTCTCAAAGAATCAACACATTCCTGCCCTCATTGGATCCTGCATTCAAGCACAGCAAGGATTATTATACGTTTAATGAGTACACTGGTAATCTCAAAATCAAGTGACTTTCCCAGGATCATCCCTCCAAACATATCCCTACTCCTTCTCTCCTTTCTCTCCCGTGACAAGAAAGCACATCATGAATTGCAGGAGGGCTCAGAGAGAGGCACGGGATTATCATGTACAGTTATGTGTGTTGAGCACTGCTAAAGGGATGTGGTCAAGGTGCCAAGATGTTGCTGAATTCCGGCCTAATACTCTGCTGTCTGAGCCAGATGCCCTGGCATGGAGTCATAACTGCTCCGACAGTGGCTCTCTAGGTTTCTGCAAACCCTAGACAAGGACCCAAGGACCCAAGACGAGCAGTTTACTTGGGAGGTGATTCTAACAAGCAGTGACACTAGGTGACCACTCTCCTGGGTGATCCTCGGGGATTGGAGAAGAGAGAGGGAAGTAAAGGCAGCCAGGACCCAATGTGCTTCTGCCCGGCTCACCACTACGGGGCAGGGGGCTCTACGCACTGGGATCATGGGGTCCACCCACTCCTCATCTGTCACGACTGAGTCCTGTCACAGGCTGCTCTGGCGTTCAGTGTGCAGACGGAGCAGCAAGGGTGTGGACACCCCTGCCTCGAGGTCTCTCCTGACCTCCCCCTGCCCAGCACCCGAGAGCCACACTCACCGGTGCCTGGTGCACTTGAACCAGTTCAGGATGTCTGCGCAGCGAGTGTAGTAGATCTGATCGAAGGGATGTGCGTAAGACTCCTGGACGGTGACGGCATAGCTGAGAAGCAGATGGGAGACAAAGCCACTGAGCTGATGCTCAGGATGCAGCCCCCTGCCCAGCACACCTGGCCCACAGCCCCAGGCCAGGCTCCCAACGCTCCGCCTCCCGGTGCGAACCCTACCCAACCAGGCAAGACCCAGGGCACGGGCCTTACCAACCTCAGAAATTCTAGTTCATTGGTTCATTCATGAAAGACAGAGTCAAGGGAGGGTTAGGGTTACTCTGTGTTGGTTCTGAAAGCCAGAGCCGACAAGGGTTTTAAATATTCTATGCTAACAGGACATTGGGCCAGGTGCCTCTTGGCCCAGCTGGTCTAGGAAGCAGGTGGCCCCTTTTATAGATGAAGAGTCTGAGGCTCAGGGGCGGCTTGCTCGGTTCCCAAACCCGGTGTCGGTGACTTCTTGGTATTTATCCAGTGCTCTACGCTAACGATCTTAATGCCCTCTAGCTCTCAGGCAACCTTAGAACGGAAGTGGGACTGTGATTCTCACTCTACCAATGAGAAAGTGAAGCATCGGACAGTGCAAGTGACATCCCCAAGTCCCCCAGCCACAGTCTGGTCTATTCCACCTCTCATATAGTTGGGGTGTACAGAGCGCCTGCCCCCAGACCTCATGATAGAAGCCAGATTTTGTTGCCTCCCTATTTGGTATAAACCCAGGCCGCGGCAGGCAAGCAGACCTCAGCTTCACCACAATCAGCCTTTCTCCCCACCGCCCTGGCAGGGTGCCACCGAATGGCACTGAGCCCTGGCTGCTGAAGTGTGCGCTTGCCCCCGGGCAGGCTGCAGAGCACCTCAGCTGAGATCACGGGAATTAGTGTTGAAGTCGGTTAGTATTACTCAGTGCTGTTCCCAGAAGGTCCCCTGGCCTGGGCCAGATGGCCGGGTCCAGGCTGTAAAAGGCCGTCTGCTTTGCCTGAAGAAACTGTGGGGCTCACTTGCAAGGCGGCTGGCACAGGGGGTCCTCACCAGGCTCCTGGGGGCCTGGAAGGTCAAAGGTCAGGAACCCAGCAGAAGGCCAGGAGCCATCAGTGCTGCTCAGGGACCCCGGTAGTAAGAAAGTCTATCTGACCCCCTGAGAATGGATGGAGGACTCAGTGTCCCCTGCAGCCAGCCCACCACAGAAGTGGCTCAGAGCCCTGCTTCCCTCCAGGCTTAGGAAACTGAGGCAGAGCAATGCCCTCCCCATGGGCCTCTTCAGCTCTGAAAGTCCGCAGCACTCGGTGGCGTCTCCCAAACACCTCACTCAGAGGCAGGAGAATGAAGGGGTCAGAGAGCCCCAGCTCTGGGACCCGGAGACTTGGGGCCACACTTGAAGCAGGACTGTCCTTAGACACATTATTTAGCTCCCGTAAGCCCTGCCTGTAAATCTACAGTAGATACTATGAGGGAATCCATGTGATTACCATGAGGATTCAAAGAGGGCACTAACAAAATAACGGTATCCGTCTGTCAGAGCAGTGGGAAGCTAAACCGAGTGATCCAGGTTAGATGCTTACCAGGTAGGTACACAGCAACCGTTTGATAGATGCTGGCCCTCATCACTGCATGGCAGGCAACAGTTCGCCTTCTGTGCTAGGCACCGAAGGCTACTTCCTCCTCGACCACCCCAGAGGAGAGAGGGAGCAGAATGGATGCCCACCTTTGTTAAGCACTTGGGGTTCAGCCCCCTCCCAGGACTGGCAGGGGCTGCAGATGCCCAGCAGAGGGTTCAGGGCACTCCAGGGGTCAGAGGCAGCTCTGCAGGATCCCCTGGGTGGAGCGAGCCTGGCACGGAGGCCTTGTACCCACTCCAAGTCCACACCCTGAAGCGTGTGCCCTGGTTTCATGGCTGGGTGTTTTAACACTGCTCATTTGCCAACATGCTAATGAGGGGCCCCATTAATCTTGGCAGGCTGGGGTTCGCCAGCCAGGGGAAGTCCCCACCACACACCAGTTTAAGGTGGAGGGGCATCATTAACGAGGAGCCCGTAGAGGTGCTAACCTCACCAGGAAATCCTCCCTAAGTGGTCTCCAAGGAATAGGATGGGGTGGGCTGGGCACCCTGACATCAGCAGCATGGCTTCCTCCCTGGGGCAGAGAAGCCAGAGACTCCCCAGGCCTCAGTGGCACTGTTGCTTCCCTCCCAGTCCTCCCGCAAAGGCCGGGAGTCTGGCTGTTGGCCCCCGGGGTACAAGGGACCCAGAGAAGAAAGGCTCCCTTGCTGGAGAGGGACCAGGCTGGAGCCTGGGGGCAGGCAGAAGTGACCAGGGACATTCTAGGACCAGGCTGCCACACAGACAGGGGCAGGAAGCACCGTGTTTTATCCAGGCCGGAGAGGCCTGTGGAGTCCTTCCTCATACCTCCCTGGCCCACTGGCAAATAAAGTGTGAATCCGCCCGAATCAGGAGCCGCAAGGGGCCTGAGGAAGCCCAGAATTGGGTGAAGCCTAGGCCAAATGCAATACTGAGTCAGAATCTCTGGGGCCAGGACCCCAGGAACACCACCCCAATGAGACTGATGCGCACAGAAGTCTATGATGACTCCTGCAGCCGGGGTTGTCAGGAAAAAAAGACCCTGATTGAGCTCTACAGTGCTCAAAGCACTGCTGTGACATTGGTGCCCCTGAACCTCCAACCAATCTGCCTGTGAAGTCATAATTTTCCTTCCAACTACTAGGGCTGGATATAGGCTCAGAGGGGTTCAGATGCTTCCCCTAAGTCACACAGCCAGCAGGTAGAAAGATCCAGATCAGAGACCGGAGAGCACCGAGGGCTCCTCATCTCAGATCTGTACTCTCTCCAGTACTCTCTGTACTGTCACTGATTTTCTCAGACTCCTCCTAGAGCATCTGGTCACCAGAGACGACACCGCTATGGCCATTATCCCCTGCCTCCCATGCACAAGTGTCCGGGTGCTGCAGATGGGGAGCCCTCCTGTGCTACGGGGCCAGCCACGCACACGGAGCTCCAATGTGCCTTCCCTCCTCTCTCGTCCGCCTTCTCCATGGGGCCTTCATCTTAATTTTATTCATTTGATTTATTAGCATCTAAGTGGCAGAGTCGTCCTGGTCAGCTTAGCCAATCAATTCTAGGGTTTAATTCAGTTTTTCCCGATTGGGTCTCTGGTCACTGTCTTTCTGCTCACCAAAATCAATACTTTAACCTTGTGCTTCAAAGTCAGACCATCTGCAGGGACCCAGCTCATTCCCCCAGAAGCCGCTACAGCAGCCAAAATGCTGCCTGCTCTCCGCTGTGGCCTCCGTCACCCTTCCTAGCAGCCCCCTGCCCCACTAGACCAGAGGATCAGAGCCCTGGCCTGTCCTCCTCATCACCTGGATACCGGTCCTGGAAACCAGGCTGGCATCCCTGCACCCAAGGGCAAGACGCTTGAGACCACAGTCCCTGATGCCCTGCTTGCTTCACCCCCGCTGGCTCTGGATGGGGATTGGGCTCTTCTGGGCCTCGATGTCCCCATCTGTAAAATGGGTGGGACGTGCAAACACAGGGAGGCACAGGACAGCATGCTGTCAACTGCAATTAGTAAGCTCCCCCACCCCACCTTCTGCAGCACTGCATCTCGGTGAATCCACATGGCTCAGCCCTGTCTCAGCATCTGAGCTGTCCCCGTGCTGGACCACAGTCCCTGTGGACAGCTGCCGCTTCTCCTGACTGCTTCCATCCCCACACCGCACACCCAGGGAGAGTCCCAGCTGAGTTCCACGTCTTACCTCTCCCAGTGGCTGCACACGTTGGGGTCCTCGGGATTCAGGGTAAGGGCGGTTTGCAGGAGGAAGAAGACAGCCAGGCTGGCCATGGGGCACGCCATGGGGACCCTGTGCAGGAGAGTGAGGAGAACAGCATCATTATTCAGCCATGCATCCTGGCATCTGTTTGGCACTGAGTCTTTTTCCACAAAGCTGGGGAACAGACCCGCTCAGTGGAGTTTCCATCACCTCAGCGTAATGAGCATTTGATATTTCACACTTGTGGGCTTTGACTAACACTGCTACAGTTCACTGGTTCCCAGCCACTGGAGAGCAGGAAACCTGAGTCAGGGAAAAGTCCAAATTCCAGGCCAGAGTTCCAGATGGTTTTTAGCTCAGGGATGGCTTCAAGAATTGAATGGAAGTTACAGGCTGTCTCCCCAGGAAAATGCCCATGTGCACCAATCTGGCTATAGTTTCAAGGTGTCCTAAGGTCCCCCCATGCCTATCCTTGACCCAAGAACACTGGATCCAACCTGCTCTAAAGGCAGTGTCCTCCCTGTCCCTCTCTGGCACCTTTGACAAGCCTTGCCCATGGCTTTCTCCCCTGCCCTTGCCTGCCACCTGGAGTCATGCAGCCACCGAGTGTCACCCACCTCATTCCCATCGTGGGATGAGGGGCTGAGCTCAGTAAGGGGCCTAAGAGAGCAGCCTGCAGAATGGGATGCAGGACCTCAAAATAACAGCAAGTGGCAGGTGTTCAGAGGGCCCGCACAGGTGCCCATCCCCTTGCCCCTGCCTGGGGAACCAGTGTGGGCTCCTCGAGGAAGGCAGAGAATCCATCCAGTGGGAGAGGCTGGGGTGACCCTTGGAGGCTCCTTCCTGGTCTAGCAACCCAGGGCTCCATGGCCCCCCAGCCTGGAGAGCAGACTCTGGTCCATGGGCTTCCCCCAGCAGGTCACCGACCTTGGGACCTCCCCCAGGGGAGTTGAGGTTCATGAGTCCCAGGGTCATCTATAAATCGAATGAACACCATGACTCATAAAGATAGCACAATTTTTCATGGGTGCAGTGATGCTATCAGGATGCTATTTATTTAAAAGATTAACTGAATTAAGAATAACTTTTCTTGGGCTGGGGATTTAGCTCAGGGGTTTCGCCGCCTGCTGTGCAAGCGCAAGGACCCGAGTTCAATCCCCGGTACCAAAAAAAAAAAAAAAAAAAAATAACTTTTCTTCTCAACCAGCAACATACCCAACAAATGCAGTTTCTAATAACTGGGGATATGGGTGTAACAGAAAATATTTCAACATTGCAAAGGGGCCCCAGGCTTGAAATATTTGGGGACCAAGCCCATCAGCCCTGAGTTTCCAGAGGAGGAACAATTATCCTCCCTGGGGGACAGAGAAGAATGGCCTGGATTTTGTGCCCACTCCTATTTCTGCCCAGGGCACAAATACAAGGATTTCCTTTCTTCCGAAAGGTTAAACACTCTCCTTCTCACCCCAATAATTTCCTTGTTAAACTCTTTCTCAGCAGCTCCTTCAAAAGTAAACAAATTGTCACAAATTCTGTCTAACCGTGGGGGTCCAGATTAATGATTAATGAGGTTTTACTTTCTATTTGAGAACTGGAGATCATCTAGCTAAATGCAGATGTAGCCAGATTTCAAATGCATTCTTCGAATCTGCCGGGAAAGAGAAGAGCAATTCTTGCGTTCCTGTGAAATCCGCAGAGTCCAAGAGACATGGGCACTCGTGTCCCTGGCTCACGCACCCTTGCCCCCACCCCAGCCTCTGAGGTAGAGCTCAGTGGCAGAGCACCTGCCCAGCATGGCCAAGGCCCTGGGTTCCATCCCCACAATCAGTTCATCACGAGACATCCTTATTGTCCCCCTGGCCGGGCAGGCTTCTCTCCTGCTGCTCCTCCTCTACAAGTCCTGCTCACTCCTCTTACCCAACCGCCTTGTGCCCTCAACTCTGCATATCCGGGTGTCACCTTGTCACCCTGCTTTGTGCTACAGCAGGTGGCTCACAGCCAGGGCCGCACCCTCCAGTGAGATCACATCCCCCTGCTCTGACACTGTCCCCCATGTTTGCTTTATTTTTCTGACACCATCATGAGCACCCCAAGACAGGGTTGAGCCCCAGGCTACCCTTTCAGAAACTGATCTTTAGGAAAGGATTTCAGCTTGTCTCAGACATTTCATTCAAGAAGACAGAAAAGCAGCCAGAAAGGAGCTGTTATCTTGTGACAGCTCCTCCCTGCTCACATTAAGGGGACTTCCCTGGCCTTGTAGAGGAAGGTTCCCGAAGACATATGCTTATGAGCTGACTGAGGGAAAATCAATCCTGCCACAGTGGTTATTCGGCCAACTCCATCCTGAGTGACAGAGGTTAACGGATGGGGGACCGTCTGATTTAGGGCATTAATAATTAAATAGGAAAACCCCCTTGGATTGTTTCAAAGGAAGAGAACACGTAAACAATTCAGCTGGTTGCCTTCCCTCACATCCCATCTCCCTCCATCCTAAGGAGCAGAGGAAGGCAGCAAAGTTCAGAAGGGGAGAAATTTCTTCCCTGACAGCATTCATGGGACTAGAGGGAGATGAGGTGTCCAGAAGAGGTGTCTCTTACCTGCCCACAGGGCACAGAGGGGCCACACACCTGGCACAGCCTGAACGGAACAAAGGCACACTCCTGGACACAAAGAAATAACATGTCCTCGGCTGCAGGCCACTGGAGGGGACCCAAAGCAGCAAGTGACTAAAGACCCCATCTGGGTCAGGGCTGTGAAATGCTGTGGAGGGAATGGAACTGGGGATGCTAAAGTATGGAAAGGCAGGAGCAGAGGAAGGGTGCTCCAGGCGGGGTGACAGCATAAGAAAGCATGAAGAGGCAGGACTGAGCAGGTGACATCAGGGACATGAGTGACATCACAGGGGCACGTGACATGAGAGGGAGCAGGTGATGCCAGAGGAAGCAGGCAAGAATGACCTTGCCCCAAGGAGCAGCAATGGACACACAGAGCACTCTGGAAGGCGTTTTCCACACTGCCTTCTATGGGACACCGGTGTAACCAGATATTGTCAGAAGCCTCACAGACATAAGTCCCCATAAGTGAACAAATGCCGTGCCGTGTCCTTGTCCTAAACAGTCCCGGTGCATCTCAACACAGCTTAGGCCTCAGGGGACCCCAGACCTCTTCCTAATGATGCTTCTGGGTGCACAGAGATGTTCAAGAGATCAGTTTGGAAAGCTCTGCTCCTCCCCCTGAAGGTCAAGACTGAAGGAAGGCCTGGTCCAGGTCAGTCTGTGTCTCTAGCCTTTGTGTGCAGTGGCTGATTCTAACACTTGAGGACGTTCCGTGCCTGCCATCGGCTATCGCAAGAGACACTGGCATCGCAGCAAAGGATCCTTCCTCCTAACTCGGGGCTTCTGCGCTGCCCTGGGCTGCCTCTGCAGAGGCAGCAGACCTTGGACTCGATGATATCCTAGGAAGGCCCTTGCCTTCTGCCTGTGGCCCCGCCATCCTCAGTGCCAGCACCTGTGGAGCCCAGCCCGGCTCCCTGGACAACCTACACCTGGCCAGGCACCAGCCGCTGACAGCCAACACACATAAATGGGATAGAGAGCAGACAGACAAGCAGATGGCCTCTGTCCTGGGACCAGTGGTTATGACCTGACGGTCCATCTGTGCAAGCATCCTACCCCACCTGCTTCCCCTCCGCTTGCTGCCCCGTCCTCCTGACTATGCTGAAAGCTTGGGCCCCACGGTCTGGTCCACGTACCTGGCACCTGTTCCCTGTCCCTCCTGTCTTTCCCAGGGAGCCCTTCCTTCTCTGCAACGTGAACTGGTGTAGGCGTGGCAGCAGTCAGATTTTGAGGGCCTTGAGAGGATTCTTCTCCACAGCACTGGGGACTGACGACAGTGACTACTCAGAACACCTGCTGAGAAGGTGGCCCTGGGAAAAGGTGCCGAGGTAAATAGTAACGCCTGGTGGGCCCTGGATGGGACAGCGACAGCACAGGTCCATGCACCTGGAGTTCCTACTTTGGAAATTTTTCCTCTCTTATAATCACCTCCAAGATGTGGCCTCAGCTCTTCCACCCAGGCCTTGGAACCTGCACACCATTTCCTTCCCCTTCCACCTCGACACTGTAGCTCACAAACACCCATTTCACCGAGTCAGAGGTTCATCTGCCACATACTCAGCTCTGTCCCCAGCTCCCACACCATTCCAGGGGCCCTAGGACATTTTGTCTATGGCTCACTGATGCTACAGCCAACCTCCCCCTCATCCCAAGCCTCAGGATCAGCCACATGGCTTGTCTCACCCGTCAGAGGACAGTAGAGACAGCAAGTCACACTGCTCGGGCATTTGGGGCTTCGTTAGCACTGCAAATCAGGCTGTGGGTCTCAGATGCCACAGGAACCCGTGACATCCCAAGAGCAACTCTGAGACCCCTGCTTGGGCCAGCCCGTCAGCACCAGGCCTGTCTGCTGCAGGAGCTGGCACAAGGCGGGCATTGAGGCCCAGTCAATAGCTCAGGCTGCAGGCGGGGACGGACTGGTGAGCAGTGCATGAAAAGGCGCTTTCAGGCTCAGGAAGCACAGACTTGGACCCCAACCCAAGGCCGATTACACTAGTGCCTCGTATCTCTCCCAGTGTGTGGGTGCAGAGAGAGAGATTTCTATCTTCTGTTTATAGGATGTGCGCGCACACACACACACACACACACACAGTCCTCTATTTGTGAAGGGCCAAGTTTGCACACATGAACCAAACATCAAGGTCACCATCCAGTGCCCCCCATTCTCCCCATCACCTGCCCCGTTCGCTCGCTGGCTCCCAGGCCCCAGACCTTCTCTGTTCCCTGGCCTTGCCCGGGACTGATTAGTGAGAGATGAAAATCAGAGCTTGGTGCAGCCCCCATAATTAAGAAGCTTCATCCTTTGCCTTGATGAAGCCTCCTGCCCTCCAGCAATCCCACCAGGGGCTGGGTTTATGTTGAGCATTCTCTAATCTCACTATACTTAAAATAAAAAAACAACTTAAAAAAATAAATCCACAGCTCTTAATCTCCAAAAGCATGCTCTCCTGACTACAGAACAGAGCAGAAAGTCCC